AATTATGGATAAGTTTTTAATTTTGTTTATGTTTTTATTTTGGGACTTCACTGCAGGTCAAATTACAGGAGACTATTTGATTGATATTTCTGCTGGCTCTAATTTTCACCATCTATTGCCCATTTTTGAGTTATTTAGGGACATCACTATTTTAGAATGTAGTCATCTCTGTGTGAAGGAACTAGTGAAATGGAAGCATAGGGAGTCAGAAAGCTATGACTGGACTCATACCTTATTGATTATGGAAGAATTCCAGGGCTCAAGGTAAGGATCAAGCTAACAGCAACGTTTTTGCTGACTATAGAATTATAGTTAATTACTTTTTCTGAAACGTAAGAAGCTATTGGGAACTGAAAGACAAACCAATCCATGTAGTAGATGAGGGACAGAATTCAGGTCTTTTTGAATATTTATTAATTGTTTATATTCTCGGTCACATAGACATTCACGTCTCAAAATAATGAATGGGTCTCTCTATACAGACATTGGTTCTTAATGTGTGATTAGTGAAATTTAATAATAAAAAAAACATGATGCCTGAGCTTTGTAATCCTATTGAAGAGCCATTGTCTTCAGGGGAGATTTGTCCAGCTGCTTTTGTTATCAGATGTTCATTAAGTTCATTAAGTGTCTTTAATTTTACATACTTGCTTGTGTCCAATTGTTATGTTTATTTTTTGTAATATCAAATAAAGTGTTTTTTTTTTTTCGAAATGCTACTACCAGTCATTAATAGGAGTGGAAAATTCAAACAATATTTTTCTTTATGGGTAATGCACAAATCACAAAGCTCAACAGACATAAAACTATCAACAATGATCAGTGTGTATGAGTGCACTACAGAGCTCCATAGCTATACATTTCACAATCTCACCAAAACAAAACTCTCAGGAATAGTTTATCAGAGTAATGAAAACACACATGTTATGTGTGCAGAATAAGGGTGGGAAGTAAAAAAAAAACTAAAAAGCAAAAAAAAGTTTTACAAAATACATAAATTTAAATTAATGTAACAACAAACAAAATAACAACTATTCAAGTATTATAGTTATCTCTCACGGGTGGTATATATACGTCTCAAATGAATAAAGACACTATAAATCAACTTACACATTTAGGCCATAGGATTATTTTTTTTAGTTCATTTATCCAAAAGGTTTCTCTATGTGCCAGGATTTTTTCATTCTCTTATCCTTTCTTTTATGTACCTGTGACAAAAAAAGAGAAATCTCCAAAAATGCAAGCTTTCTGAACTAAAATGTGATGAGTATAGTCATGATTCTTGATTTAATCGCTGATATTAATAAGCGATAATACACCCTCCTTCCGAACTAATAGTATCTTTGAATCTATATATCGACACCATAGTACCAAGCTCTGCATTACCCCAGATATATTTAGATTTTTTGCATATTTGTGTGTCTTGCCCTCAATACACACACACTCATATATATAAATATGTATATCTCATGATACCTTACTTGCACCCGGGTGGTAATCAAGATCATCAATATAGGAGGACATAATTTTACCTAAATATATACATACACCTGTTTTAAATATTTTTTGCATATACTGCAACAGTTCTCTGTCATGGCTATGTTGCTTTGTCTGTTCCTTTGTAGATAAAAATGTGCCCCCCTTGCAGAAACAAACATTGGAAGCAATGATTCAATTAACTTTTTGTGAATGTACATTCTAATTTTTTTGTGAAGACATGCTTCACCAGAAAAGAAATAGCATTATTTATGACGGCGTATCGATCCTATAATAATGAATAAGGAGCACAACTGACTAAATTAAATGTACTATACTCCCCTACCTTAGAGTCTATATTTTTTTAGTTAAAGGAGGTCGATCATATACTAAGTAGTAATAAGATAAGGTATGGGGAAAGGCTCGCAAGGGAGGGAGTGACAAGGTGAATTTGATACTCGGGATACACTTATCAAGATACGATTTGAATTGAAGTAAATTGTCCTCCGTGCCATTCCAGAGAAAGACCACGTCATCAATATAACAAGTCAAATAGCAATGTGTTTGAACATGGGATGTGAATAGACAAAATCTTCCTCAAAGTTGGCCATGTACAGATTAGCATATGAGGGGGGCATATTGGCCCCCATTACTGTGCCCTGTGTCTTCAAAAAGAAATCATTACCAAATGTAAAGAAATTGCATGTCAACACCAGTTCAAGCAGTGATAAGACAAATTCACATAACTTGGAATCAATTCCTAATGTGGCCAATGAGTATGCAGAAGCCTTAATGCCACCCACATGAGGAATGGATGTATACAAACTGCATACATCCATCATACAAAGAACAGTACCATCATAAGAGGATTGTAATCCATTCAATTTCCCCAAGAAGTAGGTCATGTCCCATGTACAGGATTTTTTTCTGGTATGTATTTATTGTTTGACATTATTTTCAGGTATCGATTTAAGTTTGTATCTGGATTGATACTATTACTAGGGTAATGAGTATTAAAATGCTTATCTGTGATTAGAATACATTATTTATATTCATTGTATATATATAAATTACACTTCCTCACAGTTATATACACATACACATTCATATAAATAGACATTTATTTCGACATATACATGCATTCATATTCACTCGTTGAGCAAGGACCTCATCAACTTATTCTTCTTGTAACATTTTGTATTTGTCTCACTTATTGTTTAATTACCCCCTTTTTATGTTGTTAAGCTCTGTGGAATATATTCATACTATATTAATGCCAACATAGACAGAAAGACACATTGATGTACATAATTAGTGACTCAAACTTGCAAATGGACACATATACACATACAGAGACTCAAATACAAACACATTCATATAAACACACAGGGTTCATGCATAGAAACTGATATACATAAACCCTCATTTGTATATACACACAGACTTTGCTCACTCAGATAGAGATTCATAACACACATGCATATACACACACAAAAAGACACAGACTCGCACACACACATGTTCATTTATATGCAAATATTCATATATACACACACACACAAACACTTATTTTTCACTTTATATAATATTTTGGTTGAGCGTGCTGAGCCCAGTGTTGTTCAATGCTTAACATTTTTGTCAATGTGTGGATGGTCATACTATTAACACAAGTAAAACTATTTACAAAATGTTTGACAATAAAAACTTGTTATCTGTAGCCAAAGCATCTCTAGGTATCATTATAAAATCAATGTAAATAAGTAAAGAATTGTGGAGTAGAGCAAAAAAAAAAAGGAGGCAGGGGAGAAAGTGAAAGAGGTGGAACTATAAGGGAGGCAGATAGTACTATTAATTAAATAAGTAATATAATTAAATAAGTTATTGTATCTACAGTGTTCTTTCTACATCCCCATGGGCTCTAATCATACAAAATGAGTGATGAGATTCTTGGTAAAGTTGTATATTAAGAAATTACTACAATTAAAGGGAGAGGTAAAAGGCAGAGGGGGCTGACTAGGAAGTGCTGAAAGTGACTGGTTGGGGGAAAGTTCATTATGTCATGACTGCTGCAATTGCAAAAATAGGAAGAGGAACCACACTCAATTCACTTAAGACAAGGTGCTTAGCTGAACTACGGTCCCGCACGAGCCCAGAAGATGATAAATACCTGTATTAGAAAAAGGGTCCATGCACTCCAATGTCTTCAGCCACCTTTATTAAAACATATTCCACATGTTCTAACAAAGGTGCATGAAGACATTGGAGTGCCTGGACCCTAGTTCTTATTTATTTTTGACGTGCATGAGAGTAACAAGCACTCTTTCTAGGCCACAACAGCAAAAGCAAGACAAATGTTAACATTAAGATTTACAGTGTAGTCATATAGGCATAACTGCTCACATTTTTGTTAGGAAATCAAGAGTGGTGCACGTTTAAAACATAGATACAGTGTAAAAAAAACAGTAAATAAAATAACATCAGGCTTGATCATGTAGTTAGTACCATATAGCTTGACAGGATTAGGCTGCACAGTGTTTTATAACAGGATGATGTGATTAAATGTGAGAAACAAGAAAGATCATTATATTGCTTATACGTCATGGATTTGGCCCACATGGAGGCGTAATGAAGGAAAAACGATTAATATATAGTTGTATGCTGGATAAGTTAAGATAAGATAGAATAACTAAAAATGATAGTTATAGCCTACACACGGGGTGGAAACTCTTTGGTGTAGGTAGATAAGAAAATAATGTATAGGCTGGATATTGAGTGGGGTTGAGAATCGCTTAAATTGATATTGGAGCGGTATCGTCGCTTGGGTGGTATTTTAGGCCTTATTAATTTTACGCCCCTGGGTTTAGCTGAAGTGACTTAGGGATCGTCTAAAGGTGCAGAGGTACTGAGGCAGGGGTGGGGGGGAGGTTGGGTGAGCTTAAGTGTCGGGCTGTTATTACCCTCAGCAGTGATGAAAAGGTTTTGTTAGGTGTCAAAATCATGACAAACATAGTAAACATAAACAGACGTTAACTAAAAATGCAAGCAGTTTTATCATAAACAGTATGCTAGTTCAGGTTGCGGCCATGGTATGCACTCAAGGATCAAGGTTGAAACTCCATCTAGATGATAAGAGGCTTCATTTAAAAGATAAGAAATTTCCTTTCTATTGTTTTTTGTTGTTTTCCTTCCTTTCTCACTAAATTTCGTCTCACAGTGTTTAAAAAAAACAAAAACAAGAGAATTGTGTTCACTTTATATATTTACCCGTATATTTTTAAAGAGAAAGTGAAAAGTAAAAAAGAAAAAAAAAAAAAAAAAAAAAAAAAAAAAAAAAAAAAAAAAAAAAAAAAAAAAAAAAAGGAGGAAATAAAAAAGGAAACAAACGGAAGGTAAAGAAAAGAAAAGGAAGGAGGAAAACAAAGGAAAAGAAAAAGGAAAAAAAAAGAGACATTGTAAATAATAATTACATAAAAAGAAAAGTGAGTGAAGATAAACCAGAAGGAGTGCAAAATACAAGGAAGCTGATGGCTCCCAAAAAAATAGTTCAAGTCCAAGAATCCAAATCTGTATCAAATCGAGACAAAGGAGATAAAGGAGAAGTACATCAAGAAAAAAACTTAGACATATTTTTTTCTCCTCAATCTAAAGACTCAAAAGGGAACAAACCGAGATCATCGTTAACAAATTTAAAGCCATCTGCTATGGATATAAACAAAGATAATAAAGAACAGGAAGAAATTACTACTAAAGTTTTGAATGAAAGTCTACAATCTATTTTAGAAGAAATAAAGAGTGAAATTTCAAAAAACTCTATAGAAATACGACAAGAAATAAAAAGTGACATTTTTAAGTTAACTGAAAAATTCCAAGTCATGGAAGATCGATTGAAGAATGTTGACTTTCAAATAGTATCAACGAACGAAGAAGTAAATTTACTGACATCAAAAATTCATTATCTTGAAAACAAAATAGAAGATCTTGAAGATAGATCTCGTAGGAAAAACCTAAGGTTCCGTAATTTTGAGGATTCCAATAAACAAGAAAATTTGGAATATATGCTACACGATTACTTTAAAGCCTTAGGTTTAAAATTGGACGGCCACAATGAGAAATTTGAAAGATGCCATAGATTGCATAAACCATCAAATATAACATCTGATACTCCAAGAGATATAATTACTTGTTTTCATTCGTTTGAATTTAAAGAACAAGTTTTAAAAGCCAACAGAGAGAAACGTATAAAAGATGGTCCATATGCACATATCATAGCACTTCCAGATCTATCTTATAATACCAGAAACAAGAGAAGAATGTTTTCATCTGGAATCAATATCCTCAAGCAACATAATATCAGATTTAGATGGAGCTATCCCACAAAGATGATTATCCAAATGGATGGAAAAATAGAGTCTTTTGATCAACCAGATAAGCTAAAGACATGGTTACAGAACAAATCATTAAATTAAACTTGATAGAGACTTTAAGGGTTTTAGAGGTATTGAGAAGATTAAGAGGTTGGAGAAAATTAAAGTCACAAATATATAGTTTTTGAAGTTCACTGTAAAAAAAATGCGTTTCTAAATATCTTCTACAAGCTAATTGTAGGGAATGACCACGTTCTGTATTATAAATAAGAAAATTAAGTATGTTTGGGGGTATAATTAACATAAAATTTATAACACTTAAAAGATGATAATTCTCACATGCACAGTTATAATTAATATATTTGTTCACTTATTTTTGTTCTTTTTTAACATTTTAAGAAAAAACAAATAATAAAAGGAAAAGCAATAGTAAAATAAGATAGAAAGGGGGGGAGAGGAAGAGAGGGAAAGAGAAAAAGAAAGAAAAAAGTAAGAAGAAATGGAAAGCTAAAGAAACCTAATTAGGTGTACAAGAGGAATTTTTTTTTTTTTCACAAATGTTGAAAATTGGTAGATGTTTATTAATCTGAGGCTATCCTCCTCTTTCTCTGCCTAGTACCTCTATTTCAAATATATATTAAGCCCTTAGACGCCTGATCTTAATCCCCTCTTTCTGTGATGTTTTCACAGATATTCTCTTATCTTCTAAGATGGAAGATCAAGTGAACCCATGGCTATTAGCCTTGGGATGTACACTGTTGAATGTTGGTGAAACGTTTATGTTTCATCAGAAGTTTTTATGTTTTGGTATGTGTTGTTATTTGCATTGTTGTACTAATTGGGCTATGGTCAGTCTGAATAATATCATTTTTATGTCCCAAATTATTTGGTACTATCGAGATAGTGTTTACAAAATTTCTGAAAGTTAAATGCTGAAAATTATGTCTATAAATGTACAAGGTTTAAATACACGGTGGAAAAAGCAGATGCTTTATGATTCCTTGGTTTCTAACCAAATACAAATAGCCTTTCTCCAAGAAACGCACTGGTTGAGATCTGAGTCGCTAAAATGGATGGGGCATAAATACAAATATATATATCATGCATCTCTCCCAAATAATAAAAAATCTGGGGTGGCAATCATATTCGATTCTAATCTAAAACTTGAAGTAAAATTAATAGACAGTGACCTTAATGGCAGATTTCTTATAATTATCTGCAAAATAGAATCTACAACTTATACTTTGGTTAATATATATTTACCAAATATTAATCCAACTGCCCTGTTTTCAAAAATCATGAATAGATTAGAAAATAAAACAATAGGTACTTTATTGATAGCAGGCGATTTTAATTGTGTTTTTGATCCAGTAATGGATAAAAAAAACCATATTCAATTGAAATCGGAAAGCCATCTATACAAACAATCAAAAACCCTCTCTAATTTATGTTCCATGCATGGTTTATATGATGTCTGGCGGGTAACTCACCCAGATCTACGAGATTATACGCACTTGTCTAAAGTGCACAATTCGTATTCACGAATCGATCTATGCTTAGTACAAGCTAATACTTTGAAAGAGATCAATACAATTCAAATTAAGGATAATACTTGGTCTGACCATAGTTTTCTAATATTAGAGATAGGTAGGATCTTACAGAGATCTACTCACTCCTGGAGAATGGACGACTCTCTCTTTAAAGTTAAAATAAATCAAGACACCATAATTAAACTTTCAAGGTTCTTTTGGCTTGAAAATTCTACTCCTGATATTTTAGATTCTACTCTATGGTCTTCATATAAAGCGGTCATTAGAGGCTTTATTATTAAAATTGAAAAACAATCTAAAACTATGATTAATAGAGATCTAACAGATCTAAATATTCAATATTTTACCCTGTCTAAAACGAACAAAGAGTTTCCAACCACTCAATTAAGATTAGCACTTCTAGAATTACAAAAACAAATTAACTTAAAGACAGAAGAAAAGATTAGAAAGACAATCAATAAATTGAGATTAAATACTTACCATCAAAGTAATAAAGCAAATAAAAACTTAACTGAAAGATTAAAAAAGCAAAATTCAAATAATAGGATCAATAAATTGGTCGTGGATCATAATACATATTCCTCCCCAGAAAAAATTGGGCAACTATTCAACGAATTTTATAGTAAACTATATGATTTGGATATATCATCAGATAGTCAAGATATTAAACAATATTTGGATAAGATTGATATTCCAAAAATTAACAATCAAGAGTTAGCCCAACTTATTATGAGTTTATGATAGATGAGGTCGAAAAAGAGATCGATAGACTTCAATTAAATAAGACCCCCGGTCTGGATGGCTTCTCTAATCTTTTCTATAAAGTAATGAAAAAAGAGATAACGGCTCCTTTAACGGCTCTTTTTAATGAAATGGCCAAAATGGCTAAAACACCAAAGGAGTTATTACAAGCCAATATTCTTCCAATACTAAAACCAAATAAAGATCCAACTGATGTTAAAAATTACAGACCAATTTCTTTACTCAATACAGATATGTAAATATATGCAGCAATTTTAGCATCTAGATTGAAACTACTTGTTGAGAGAGTCGTTCATTCTGATCAGGTTGGATTTCTGCCAGGTAGATCTTCTGATACATGCACTAGAAGAATAGTGAATATTTTGGATGGTGCACTCCGTCGGGAGATTCCGCTGCTGACCCTATCGTTGGATGCCGAGAAGGCCTTTGACAGGGTCAGTTGGCGCTTCCTCGACGAGGTGCTGACTTCTTTTGGATTCATAGGCTGGATTCATGATGCCATTTTGGCACTTTACTCTGAACCAACAGCTAGAACTGTAGGTGTAAATATTCAATCAAATTGGTTTAGTCTACATAATGGCACACGCCAGGGCTGTCCTTTATCACCCCTTCTTTATATTTTAACTTTGGAACCCTTAGCTATTAACATTAGGAACAATTTCAATATCACAGGTTTTCCAATTAAAAATTTAGAAGCAAAAATATCACTTTATGCTGATGATATATTATTAACACTTACTTCTCCAGAATCCTCTCTTCCGCAAGTTTTATCTGCTATAAAAAGTTATTCTAAGGTATCTAACTATAAACTCAATATATCTAAATCAATTGCTGTAACTACTAATGTTGATATTTGCAGTTTAAAAGCTCTCCGGAAGAATTATGACTTTGTATGGACTAATAGAGTCTTTAATTATTTGGGCGTGACAATTTCATCTCAAGTTAACAATATTATGGAAATAAATGTTTTGAATCTCTTAAAATATACAAATATAAAACTAAAAGAATGGCGCCTGACCGAATCCTCTTGGATCGGCAGGATTAACAAAATTAATGCTTATATTATGCCCAAATGGTCCTATTTATTTAGGATGATTCCTCTTCAAATTCCAGAAATTTGGTTAACCATGATACAATCTAGTTTTCAAAAATTTATCTGGAAAACGACGAGGTCTAGAATAAGTTCTAAAGTTCTCTCTAGGAAACCTCAAAATGGAGGTATAAATTATCCAAATATTAGAAATTGTTATTACGCTAACATTATTGGTCATATATATAAATTGCAGGTTGAATCGTTTAAAACAGACACATGGTACCTAATTGAATCCGAGGCAGTATGAAAAGATAGATTGGAAATGTATTTATGGCTTAAAAATAACAAAAAAACGATAGAATTTTTATGTAGCAAATCATTAATTTTGTCACAAATTATTAGTGCTTGGGAGAAGATGAAAAAACAAAAAAAAATCTCTGATAAAATAATTAAGTCATCCCATTTGATCATTTTAGAAGATAATATTGAGGATATTTCTTTAAATAAATGGTCTAAATATCAATGGACGATTGGAGATATCCTTCATGATGATCAAATTCTACCCTTTGTGGACATTCAAACTAAACTTCATCTCCCTAACAAAGAATTTTTCTCTTATTTAAGAATAAAAACATTTCTAAATATGTTTTTATTAAATATGTCACCAAAAATTGATATTCTTTTTCAAACTATTTTTAGATATACCAAGGTTAATAAAATTCTTTCAAAAGCTACTAATTTGTTATCCAACCTTGATCAACAACCCTTAAATATACTTGATAAATGGAAAAATATCCTAAAGATTGATATAACTGAGCAGGAATGGTGTATGTCTCTTAGAGACACTCGTAAATACATTCATTGTCTGAATTTATTTGAATGTCAATATAAGGTTATTTATAAATGGTATCTGACTCCATATAAATTAGCTAAGATGTACCCAGGTCAAACTTCTCACTGCTGGCGTTGTGGCTCTACAGAGGGAACACTTGTTCACATATGGTGGCATTGTAAATTGGTTAAAAACCTTTGGGAGTGGTCCTTCGAAATTCTTAAATGTTTATTTAATATCACAATCAAAAAAGGCCCAGATACAGCATTGTTACATTTAAACTGGAAACTCTCTTCCACTCCATCTAAATGCCTTGTAAACCATTGTTTCCTGGCAGTAAAAATAATAATAGCAAGGCAATGGAAGTCACATCTCCCTTTTTTGAGGAGTCAGCTTGTCAATCAAATTCTATATCAATTTCAAATGGAAAAAGATTTACCACTTCCTTCTATATTTTCTTTAAAAAAACAAGATCAATATATAAATTGGATACGGATCTTAGAAAACAAATGAATTAATCCTTTGTACCTCTTCCTGCTTGGATTGCGGTAGACCCTAATAAAATTCTTATTATAGGGATATTTCCTTTTAGATTTTCAGACTGACCATGGCCCATATATATATATGTATTTATATTTACACATCTATATCTATTTTTTGCTAGATGATCATTTTATAAGATATAGAATATATTTGTACTGTGAGATCTTTAGCTGTCTAGCAGTTGTAACAATGTAAACAATATGTGTTTTTGTTTTTTTTTTGTCATTGTCACACTTGTCTTGTTTCTGTATGCACTTTATTATTTGTCAATGTATGAAAAAATGTTTTAATAATAAAAAAAAGGGAAAAAAAAAAAACAACTAAAAATGCAAGCAGTTTTATCATAAACAGTATGCTAGTTCAGGTTGCGGCCATGGTATGCCTGTCTGCTGGGACAAAAGGGATGACTTTCGCCATATCCCATGTATGTGGTGGCTATAGGACACCTCGTGTGCTAGGCCTGGTCAGAGAGTCCTGCGGGGGACCCAAGGTTGCCAGAAGGCCGGTCGCCTCATCCAGGTCGAACATCATGGGCAGCATTGCCCTGCATGATTTGTAGTTTCCGGGGTGATCGCCATCTATAGGGAATGTCCCTGTTTCGAAGCACTGCCGTGAAGGATTAGAGGGAATTTCTTCATTTAAGTGTTTCCCTCGAGAGGTCAGTGTAAAATGCCAATGACATGTTTTCAAACCAGTAAGGTTATAACCCCTTCAGCACCACCAGTACTGCCGCTTTATCCCTGTTGCAGGTAAAACGCACTACTATGTCACCAGTGGCTGTTACTGGTGCCCTCCGGGGCTTCGGAATTCAGAAGGTCCCGTATATGTGAATGTTTTTGGCCTGTTTGGGGGTCAGTAAGGCACAGAGCAGTCTCCATATCATGTGTGGGATTTCCGTCACTGGTAGATGATCAGGCATACCTCATACCTTGCATCTTCCATGAGGGCAAACCTCTGCTCAAAGGTTAATTGTTGCCTTTTAAGACTCCTCACTTCATCCTTCAATGTGGCGAGCTGTGTGGATTGCTGCTTGGCTGTTGTTTCCACTGTCTCTATGCGGCCCACAAGACCCGAGAGGTCAGAGCGCAGGGAGGCCACATCGGCCTGAAGCTTTTTCTGAAGGCCGGCAAGTAGTTCTTTCATAGTGGCCGTGGTCACAGGCTGGGTGTCGGTACTCTGAGGTGCTGCCTGGGTGTGATTTGGACATGGCGTGAGAGGTGTCTCCCCGTCCAGCAGCGACTCTCCCGAGGAGTCTGAGAAGTCATCATAGTCGGTGGCCATCTTGGGTCTGCTCGAAGCACTGAATGGGTTAAAATAAAGCTGTACTGGTTGACCTTAGCATGCAAGCACGCCTTTGGTCTTAATGTCTGAGTGATTGTATTCAAAATTTGTTTAGAGTGGCTTTAGATTTGTAGTAAAATGTATTAAGCAATAAGACAATAAGGCAATATGGAAATAAGTTGCAAGTTTCTTCAAAGTTTCCACAGTCTGTGGGAAAAGTAATTTCTCTCAGTGTAGAATATTGCATATTCTATGCTTCTATTGATTGTGTACGGATGTCTGGATTGACTTAAGTAACAGATGGTATCCATAAGTCACAAGGTTGTCTTGTATGAGAACTCTGGAATGTGGGTTGGGAGTTTTGTCCTTATATGGCTAGGGTTAAATTCTGATGTCAGTGTGGGCACATCTATATAGTAACTGAACAAACATAGAAACATAGAATGTAAGACCCATTCGGCCCATCTAGTCTACCCAATTTTCTAAATACTTTCATTAGTCCCTGGCATTATCTTATAGTTAGGATAGCCTTATGCCTATCCCACGCTTGTTTAAACTCCTTTACTGTGTTAACCTCGACCACTTCAACAGGAAGGCTATTCCATGCATCCACTACCCTCTCAGTTAAGACTATGTCCTCTTGTTGTGGTAGTTTTTCTTGTTTTAAATATAGTCTCCTCCTTTACTGTGTTGATTCCCTTTATGTATTTAAATGTTTCTATCATGTCCCCCCGTCTCATCTTTCCTCCAACCTATACATGTTAAGTTCCTTTAACCATTCCTTGAAAGTTTTATCCTGCAATCCATGAACCAGTTTAGTAGCCCTTTTCTGAACTTTCTCTAAAGTATCAATATCCTTCTGGAGATACGGTCTCCAGTACTGCTTACAATACTCCAAATGAGCACTAGGGAAAAATATTCGGTTTGGTTCGGCATTCCAGAAATTCGGGAGTTCAGCACTTTGGAACTTCGACACTTCGAAATTGCGGCACTTCAGAACTTCGGGACTTCGACACTTTGGAACTTTGGCACTTCAGCACTTTGGAACTTCAGGACTTCGGGACTTTGGGTAAGTGTAGTGTTAAGGTTAGGGTTAGGGGTAGCTTTAGGTTAGGGGTAGGGTAGGGTTAGGGTTGGTCTAGGGTTAGGGGTATGGTTAGAGGTAGGGTTAGGGTAGGTTTAGGGGTAGGGTTAAGGGTAGTGTAAAGGTAGGATTAGGGTAGGGTTAGGGGTAGGGTTAGAGGAAGGGTGAGGGGTAGGGTTAGATGAAAGGTGAGGGGCAGGGTTAGGAATAGGGTTAGGGTTACCCTACCCCTACCATAACCCTACCCACCAACCCTACTCCAACCACTAACCCTAACCCTACCCCAACCCCTAACCCTACACCTACCTCAACCACTAACTCTACCCCAACCCTTAACCCTACCCCTAAACCTAACCCTACCCCTAACCCTACCTCTACCCCAACCACTAACCCTACCTTAACCCTAGCCCTATCTGAATGTCTGAATTTCCAAAATTGCAAACGGAACGAAGCGAATTGCACTTGTCTAATGAGCACTTCCCTCTTGCTACTGCTAATACCTCTCGCTATACAACCAAGCATTCAGCTAGCATTTCCTGCTGCTTTATTACATTGTCTGCCTAAATCCCTTTTCTCAGATGTTGAGGTTAGGACTCTATCAAATATTCTGTACTCTGCCCTTGGGATTTTACGTCAAGATGCATTATCCTGCACTTATCCACATTAAATGTCAGTTGCCACAACTCTGACCATTTTTTTTTAAATTACCTAAATCATTTGCCATTTGCCTTATCCCTCCTGGAACATCAACCCTGTTACATATCTTAGTATCATCAGCAATAAGGCATACCTTACCATCAAGACCTTCTGCAATATCACTAATAAAAATAATAAAGAGAATGGGTCCAAGTACAGATCCTTGAGCTACCCCACTGGTGACAAGCCCATGCTTAAAATATATTCCATTAACTACAACCCTCTGTTGCCTGTCACTCAGCCACTGCCTTACCCATTCAACAATATTGGAATCCAAACTTAAATATTGCAGTTTATTGATAAGCCTTCTGTGCAACAGTGTAAAAAGTCTTAATGAAATCTAGGTAAGCAATGTCTACTGCACCACCCTTATCTATTATTTTAGTTACCCAATCAAAAATATCAATAAGATTAGTTTGGCATGATCTCCCTGAAGTGAAACCAAGTTGTCTCTGATCTTGAAATCCATATGTTTTTAAATGTTCAACAATCCTATCCTTTAACATGGTTTCCATCACTTTCCCCACTACTGAAGTAAGGCTTACTGGCCTATAGTCGCCCGACTCCTCCCTTCTACCTTTCTTGTGAATGGGCACAACACTTGCTAACTTCCAATGTTCTGGGACTACTCCTGTTAACAATGATTGGTTAAATAAATCTGTTAATTGTTTTGCTAGTACACCACTGAGCTCTTTTAATAGCTTTGGGTGTATTCCATCAGGTCCCGTTGACTTATTTGTCTTTACTTTTGACAGTTGAAATAGAACCTCTTCCTCTGTAAACTCACATGTAACAAATGACTCATGTGTCCTTTTTCCTAACTGAGGCCCCTTTCCTTCATTTTAATCTGTAATTACTGAACAAAAATATTCATTTAGGCAGTCATCTAGACCGTTATCCTCTTCTACATACATTTATTCTTTTGTTTTTAATCTAACTAACCCTTGTTTTATTTTCCTTTATTCGTTTATGTATCTAAAAAATGTTTTGTCCCCTTCTTTTACTGACTGTGCTATTTTTTCTTCTGTGTGTGATTTGGAAGCTTTTATAACTTGCTTAGCCTCTTTCTGCCTAATCTTATAGATCTGTCTATCTTCCTCACTCTGGTTTATTTATAATTACTAAATGCTAACTTTTAGTTTTTTACTATTTTGGCCACATCTGCAGAGTACCACAGTGGTGTCTTGAATTTTTTGCTTTTACTTACAAGCCTAATGCAATTTTCTGTTGCCTTCAGCAGTGCAACTTCTAAATAATTCCATTTCTCTTGGACTCCCTTTTAAATTGCTCCAGTCTGATAATGACTCCTTTACACATATTCTAATGTCAGAAAAGTGTTTTTCTAAAGTCTAAAACTGTTGTTTTTATGTTGTGTGACTCAGTCACTGTTCTCATATCAAACCACAATGATTGATGATCACTGGATCCTAAACTTTCACCTACAGTAATATCTGATAACAAATCTCAATTTGTTAACACTAAATCTAGTATGGCCTCCTTACGAGATGGCTCCTCAACGACTTGTTTTAGAGACAATCCCAGTATGGAGTTTAGAATATGTGTGCTCCTGGCACAAGAAGTTATTTTGGTTTTCCAGTTCACACTGGGAAGATTAAAGTCCCCTGTGACGGCACCCTCAGCATAAAAGGGTTAAACTGCCATTTAGTAGATCTTCCCTTCCAGAGACACAGGCACAGCTACTGCAGAACACCAATCCGCCGAACAGGAAACCATATGAATGCTGTAAACAGCGGAATAGGAAAAACCATATGAATAGGTTTACACTCCTAGCAGTCAAACTGGAACAGCATACAATAAATCCCCCCAAGAACGAGACAAAGCTCTGTGTTGAGGGTCAAGCAGTGAACAGACAGAGCTGTGGGTTTATTGTTCTTATGTACACATTCTTACACATTAGTACCACCCACAGGGTTTTGGAACACAACCAATAAACACATACAATACACTCAGACACTCCCACAAAAAATCCTCCCCTCTGCCTGTGATACAATTACGTTACACAATGGGTAATGTAATTATAACAAGCAGAGAAATAAAATTTTTCCACATTATTCATAACTTGAAATGTATGCATCACATTCACATATAACTTACATTTTCAGAATCAGCATACTCCATATACAAACATACGGCAAAATCATACAAATTGGTCCAGTGGTTCAAAAGATAGATCATAGTCCTTTGTGAACAAAGGAAGCATGGCTTTTCTGCCCAAAACCAGTTCCACAGAGTCTTCTATCCTGGATATAATTGGGAAGTAATCCAAATATCTCCAAAGACAGAGGCAAAACTCCATTGAACACATGGCAGCAAAAGACATAAAAACACATAAAAACATATAACTGTGCAGCCATTGCACAAAACAGGTACATTCAACATATCCCCAGATAGCTCAGATCTGAGAGCACATTATTACTGAATGGCGCTCAGAGCACACACATACAGTTCAATTGCCATGGAGCCAAAGTCTTTCATAGTCCCATAGTCTTTCATTATACGAATGGGCTCCATGGCATAGCTATCTGGGGTATCACCGCTCAAACAGGGCAAGCTCCAAATGACCCGGCTTTCATGTCTTTGCAGGGGAAAATCAAGCCTTTCAACATGGGGCCATAATCCAAAGGCAACAGGCGAGCAACCAGGCTTCTCCAATGCAATGTGGCAAGATTGGTCTTGTCACATCCCCCATGAAGATAACTTCCCCCTTCATTGTCATTTTAGCTATTTCCTCAACTAGTAGATTATCTAACTCTTCTATTTGTCCTGGGGGCCTATAAATCACACCTACACGAGTTATTGTGTGATTACCAAATTCTAACGTAACCCAAACGGACTCTATGTCCACCTTACTAACTTTTAAAGGCTAGATTTTATGCTATACTTTCTTGCCTTACCTGTCTTTTCTACAGAAAGAGTACCGTGGTATTGCTATATTCCTGTCATTTTTCTCATTATACCATGTCTCAGTAACAGTGACTAAATCTACTTTATCAGTTGTCATTATTGCCACAAGTTCATGGATCTTATTCCCTAAACTGCGAGCATTTGCAGACATGACTCTAAGCTTATCATTGTTTAACACACTTGCTTCAGGCACCTTCTGTTCTTGTTTTTGGGGGCTATTGGATTGATGTTTTATCACCCTTTTGCCCCACTTAAAAGGTCTCTCTCTTGGTTATTCTTCCTGTACGGCTGTGTAACGATGTAACTCTCCTTTCAGGAGTCCAGCAATTGCCAACTGCTGTTGAACATCCTTTAACATCCTTTGTTGTTTTATTATGTATTAGTAACTCTAAGAATAAACCTGAAGATATCGTAAGACAGATTGCGTGTTAATATATTTGGTTAATATAGACGTGTATCAACCTGGCGAGCCTTTTACCTTAGAAGAAATATACATAAAATAATTATTTCAATCCACTGGAAAAAGACACAGAAGAAATGGAAAATTTTACATTCAGTAATTATTTCTCACATCTGAAAAAGTCTGTTAGAATTTACACAAGCACAGAGTTCTCTTGTTATCGCAGGTTTCATCAAAGATTTCTTCCAATAAAATGAGCCCTCTAGTGCAGGGGTAGGCAACCCCAGATGCTGTGGACTACACTTATCATAATGCTCTTACAGGCATAATGCTGGCTAAGCATCAGGAGAGATGTAATCCACAACATCTGGAGTGATGAAGGCTGCTGACCACCGTTATTGTATACTTTTTTTTTACTTTGCTTATTTGTTAATTGTTTTTTTCTTTATTTGCAGAGCTAGAGAGATATATACTTCTTAACTTTCTTCTGTGACTTGAAAATCAGTGGTACTTTCATGAACTTGTGCAGGTCAGATAAAAGACTTATACAGGGGTTGACTTGAGGTTCTTTATTTTGAATCTTTTGCATGTTTAGACAAGGTAACAATAAAGACAAAAGGAAGAGAAATTATAGGCTAGGAGGAATAAGGAAAACCTATAAATGGGATTATAATCTGAAAGAAGAAGGAGAACCTATAAATGGGATTTCAGGTAAGTAAGAAAGAGTAGTTTTAGAAATAGACGTTTAGGCAATATGCCACAAGCAGGTTTACATGAAACAGGGAAACCTATAAGAGAAATTACAGGTAGACATAAAACAACAGGACAGAAATAAACAGAATATAATAAAGGCTTAAGGAATTCAGGTTAGTTCTAAGTTAAGATGATCAGTCTCTTTTATTTGGAGGTTGTACTGCAGTTACCAGATAGGTGGAACAGGGTTATCCAGGAGAGTTGCAATTAATAGGAAAGTTTGTAAAGTCCAGGCAGGTTAGGTCCAAACAATAAGGAATAATTAGGAAACAAAGTCCAGTCTGAAATAAAGCAGGTTGTTTGAATGAATCAGGATGGATAAAAGGTAATCAGACTTAAGCAGGTTCTCAGGTATCAGAATGAGCCAGGAACAGATGTCTTGTCTGTATCAGACCATAAACAACTATCAATGTAAAGGTCCTTTGGTAAGCAGAGTGTGGCCTCTTGTAGCACAATTCAGATGATCATCTTAGGCAGGTGAGAGACTGAGCTTAGACTAGTGGTTAGGGAGGCCACTAGTGTTGGAAAGCAGGTATTG